CTGAAGGGTTCTGAGAAAGCTGACTGAAGGCTAGTGAGCAGGCTAGCTGAAGGCTCAGGAGAAAGTTGACTGAAGGCTAGTAAGAAGGCTCGCTGAAGGGTTCTGAGAAAGCTAACTGAAGGCTAGTAAGAAGGCTCGCTGAAGGGTTCTGAGAAAGCTAACTGAAGGCTAGTGAGCAGGCTAGCTGAAGGGTTCTGAGAAAGCTGACTGAAGGCTAGTGAGCAGGCTAGCTGAAGGCTCAGGAGAAAGTTGACTGAAGGCTAGTAAGAAGGCTCGCTGAAGGGCTCTGAGAAAGCTAACTGAAGGCTAGTAAGAAGGCTCGCTGAAGGGTTCTGAGAAAGCTAACTGAAGGCTAGTGAGCAGGCTAGCTGAAGGGTTCTGAGAAAGCTGACTGAAGGCTAGTGAGCAGGCTAGCTGAAGGCTCAGGAGAAAGTTGACTGAAGGCTAGTAAGAAGGCTCGCTGAAGGGTTCTGAGAAAGCTAACTGAAGGCTAGTAAGAAGGCTCGCTGAAGGGTTCTGAGAAAGCTAACTGAAGGCTAGTGAGCAGGCTAGCTGAAGGGTTCTGAGAAAGCTGACTGAAGGCTAGTGAGCAGGCTGGCTGAAGGCTCAGGAGAAAGTTGACTGAAGGCTAGTAAGAAGGCTTGCTGAAGGGTTCTGAGAAAGCTGACTGAAGGCTAGTGAGCAGGCTAGCTGAAGGCTCAGGAGAAAGTTGACTGAAGGCTAGTAAGAAGGCTCGCTGAAGGGTTCTGAGAAAGCTGACTGAAGGCTAGTGAGCAGGCTAGCTGAAGGCTCAGGAGAAAGTTGACTGAAGGCTAGTAAGAAGGCTCGCTGAAGGGTTCTGAGAAAGCTGACTGAAGGCTAGTGAGCAGGCTAGCTGAAGGCTCAGGAGAAAGTTGACTGAAGGCTAGTAAGAAGGCTCGCTGAAGGGTTCTGAGAAAGCTGACTGAAGGCTAGTGAGCAGGCTAGCTGAAGGCTCAGGAGAAAGTTGACTGAAGGCTAGTAAGAAGGCTCGCTGAAGGGTTCTGAGAAAGCTGACTGAAGGCTAGTGAGCAGGCTAGCTGAAGGCTCAGGAGAAAGTTGACTGAAGGCTAGTAAGAAGGCTCGCTGAAGGGTTCTGAGAAAGCTAACTGAAGGCTAGTGAGCAGGCTAGCTGAAGGCTCAGGAGAAAGTTGACTGAAGGCTAGTAAGAAGGCTAGCTGAAGGGTTCTGAGAAAGCTGACTGAAGGCTAGTGAGCAGGCTAGCTGAAGGCTCAGGAGAAAGTTGACTGAAGGCTAGTAAGAAGGCTCACTGAAGGCTCAGGAGAAAGCTGACTGAAGGCTAGTAAGAAGGCTCGCTGAAGGGTCATGAGAAAGCTAACTGAAGGCTAGTGAGCAGGCTAGCTGAAGGCTCAGGAGAAAGTTGACTGAAGGCTAGTAAGAAGGCTCGCTGAAGGGTCATGAGAAAGCTGACTGAAAGCTAGTGAGCAGGCTAGCTGAAGGGTCATGAGAAAGCTGACTGAAGGCTAGTAAGAAGGCTCGCTGAAGGCTCAGGAGAAAGCTGACTGAAGGCTAGTAAGAAGGCTCGCTGAAGGGTCATGAGAAAGCTGACTGAAGGCTGCTCATGCATAAGTTAGCAGCTGGCTACTGTGAAGGCTAGTGGGAAGGCCAGCTGAAGGCCAGTGTGAAAGTGGAAGGTACTAACGAAAGGAGCCACAACGCTATTGTTTTAGCTTTACCCTATGATCGTCATAACATTGGTTCTTGTTAGCTCTTGGCACCTTAATTCTTACAATGGATTACGCTAATTTCGAGCATTCAGTAATATTCCAAGCATGTTCGGTAGCAATAGACGAACTGCGCATGCACAAGATTGAAAATGACGTCTAGTTGGAACGTTGTTGTTTCTGGAGATCTTGGCAAATTTTAATGAAAAATTGACAGATATAACATCGATTGAAGAAGAACTGATGAACTATCGTGAATCTTTTTGTATTTGTAATGGTGATGAGACGTAATTAATAATTGCCTGTGACAATAACGATTGCATTATTCAATGGTACCATTGTCAGTGCGTGGGTTTGACACCCAAAAATTGTTTGACATTTTCAACCACCGGGCATCGGTGAACACCACCAGAAAAGATACTATCGATAGAAGGACATGCCTAGACACTTTCTCTGCGATAATATTTTTTCGGAGTTCTTAGGAATTATGTTGTAGACGCATGAAATCTTGTTCTTGTTACAATTGCTAATAATGAAAACATGTGAAATCTGTTAAATCGAACATTCATTTTTTGAATTTCCAGTCGTGAAATGCGTATTCTGAACTTTCACACCTAAACAAACCGATGTGATGGCGGTAGTTTCATAATGCGCATATATTTCCTGGTCTTGTTAAAAAACGACGAGGTTATATCATATTCTGCTAACTCAGTACTTGTGTAAACAATCGCAAACTATCATGGACATCAAAGATGAGCTAGACAATGTCCTTATCAGGATTAACTTGGATTGAAACAAAAGGAAATAAGCCACATAAGAGGCATCGTGGCTCCTTTTTATTAGTACCTTCCATGGTGAAAGCCAGCTGAAGGCTAGTTAGCTAGCTCAAGGTATATGATACATGCATTTATGTCACATTGTCTATTTGGTATAGTTTTCGCAACATGATTACCAGTAGATAAATGTATTGCTTAATATTTATATATTTTTCATAATACAAGGTTATTACAAGGATACCATAAAACATGCATGAATGCAGTAGGGTTATAGTATTGACCAACACATACCAGAGGTTGATGCCATCCTGTACAGCCTGAGTGCATACTTTTTGGCATACTTGTGATAACCTTTATATTATATACCGGTATTATCTTTTCCCTGTTTGTAGTTAATTTTGGTGTTCAGTGACTGGATTCTATTCCCATCACAAGCGCTTATAGTTATGCATCTGAAGTAAACAAATTAAAGGCTTAATGTCTCAACATGAACATGTCTGTATAGCATTTTACAAATAGGATAAATTGTATTGTTTTTGATGCTAAATATATAATAATATGAGGTTATTATGAGGATACCTCATAGTATGCACAAAGACAGTACAGCTGGAGTATCAATCGAGGCACAGCGGAGGTCGATGCGAAAGAACAGAATCAACAAACTTCTTTGTGTGGAGTCCAATCAAACCCTGGTGGCAGCCATGTTTGTTTTTATTATTAAAGGATGCATACGTGCATAATCATTCCATATTTGGAATTTGTATTTTCTTATATGGTAGGATGAAAATACCTCGTAAAATTACGCGAAATTGTGGCACACTGTAACTCATGGTGTTACGATGACAGATGTAAAATAATATAAAGTATTTTGAAATAACCCAATAAAATCATAAAACAAAAGATACATTTCAAGCCTAGCATGTTCCAATAGTGAATGATTTTCATATTGATAATCTGGAGGTATTTGGTTGAGCTGAGATCAATAGGGAACACTGAAGCAAACAAAATCTCATACGCCATTCGTAGTCATTTATTTTTTCCACACTGGTGAGAGAAAACAAGAAAATATGTTCTGTTTTAAGGAGTGTGCTGGGATTTTGGCTTATTATATATCCTTACCCCGGGGAGCAGATCTTCTGGCAACCTTAAAATTCTGATTGACCATGCAGGGATCACATGTGGCCACAGTCTTCAACTGTGACCTGTCTGATAGTAATTTTAGCCCCAAGGAAGCCATAGAATGTTCCATTTTAACTTAGAATTATCAAAAACTTTAAACTCTGGTAGGGAGAACCCTATCTTGAACCACTTGGTAGCGCCACTGAATTGCAGTGCTCCCACTTGCAGTTTTTTTCTAGAAAAAAACCTGATATAAAATTGAAATGTCATCACTATATTTTGTGATAAGTGTAACTTAGTTATCATGGTCTTTAGAGGAAATCATTTACAAAATGCCAAAATGGTGTTTTTGGAAGAATTTTTATAAGAATCATCACACATGTAAAGGCATAATACTGTAAAATACTATTTTCACTTGGAATTAATTTTTGCTATTTTCGCTGAAGCAAAGTTTCAGTGAAAATAAAATCTAGCGACTAGCGAATATACCTTTTTTCCTATATTTTACTTCCAACTCATCAGAAATCAGTGAAAATAAATTCCATACAAAATACACAAAAAGTCTTTTTATCAAAAATCATTTCCAGCTAAAATAAAGTATTTTACAGTATATAATGTAAATCAAATAGTATTCTCCAGAATCTCCAATTAAATTGTTACAATCAGAATTACCCATTTTATAACATACTAATTAATATTTTCAAATATGACAAGATCTTCTCCCCATAGAAAACAATGTTAAATGGCTCAAATAATGGCTCAAATATCACTATTTTCATAGTTTTTAGCCATTTTTTATGCAAAAAGTAATTCTGTAACCATATGTTTTTATGCCAGTTTTGGGAACAACAACATTAAATAAAACCATAGTTTAAAAATCATGGAAATCTAAATACCTCACAATCTACCGTAATACCTGCAAATAACCTTATACCCCTTTATATTTTCATATTTTGTATTACAAAACCCTACCATCAGATTTGTTACTGCTACTGTGGAAGGATCACTGTCGGCTAAACCAGCAGCCCAGTCTATTTTTGACCTACTCGATCTGGCAGACTATAAACCCGATTATAATACCATATTTTGTTCCCATCAATAATGTAGGTATTACATTTTGAATATTATTCTTCTTAGTTTTTGATCATTTTTTATTTTAATATAGACAAATTGTATGACTTGTGAGAAATGACAAAATGTTATTGCCTGCTTGCAAATAAAAAGTACTACATATATAAATTCAAGAATGAAACCCAGGGCAAATGAATATGCTTCTTATTTAATCCTCTTTTATGTTATTATAACTGCAAAATAAGACCCATTTCACTCACCACTGTACATTACCGTACCTGCTGAAAGCCTGTATAGCCAAAACAAATGGGGAAAAAATTGCAAATTAACTGTAATAATTAACTTCTTTTGGCAGTTAGAACTAGATTTTCCTTGGGTGTATGATTGGTCAATCACTATGGAGCTGACGAAAGTCTTGGCATCTCAAGATTGTTTTAATGCAATGTTTTAATACATACAACTGAAATTATAACATATATACTGAATTGAAATTTTAAGATGTTAAGTTAGCATCCACTTTAAAACGTAAAAATGTGTGTTTGGAAAGACCTTCCTTTTTTTTCTGAAGTTACTTTTACCTTCGCTGCTGATTTGTCTTTCCCCTAATATCAAGGTCCCAACCTCCTAGCTCGGCACTGTAGCTTTTGTGCAGGTCTATGTGAATGTTTGTCTTGTCGGGGAAAATCAATACCGCCACCCAAACAATGTAAAAAAAAAAACTAAGGGGCGGTGGTCGTCGCTCCGCGTCCTGTTCGACATAGCAGTACATCCACGGACTCGTATAGCGATATATACAACGCCGTGTTTGTTTACATGAAATTCGAATACGCACTGTGCGACGACCACCGCCGTTTAATAAGTTCACTTGCACGAACATTTTCGTCTGAGACACTCGATGTCAATGCATACTGGTCAAATTAGCCAACAGTCAGCAGACTGTAAAAATATTCCTGGATCGTATCTCCTAGTGCATAACTATGACCAAATATACACGTGCACGGTCACTGCATGCGTTTGCATGCAGCCGACTATGCCTGAGGCCAATATTTATGTTGTCGCCCAAATGCGATAAAAGTTCCACGTCTTACCTTCGCCATTCTGTTGGACTGGTAACCGGAACATAGACGCAATTCCCCCAGCTCGAGCCATTTGCAAGCCACTCAGGGGTTCATTGAATTTCTTGAAATCGGAATTGGTCATTGTGAAACTGCGTTCAAACGCTTTTACAGTCCGTGGTTTAATCTGCCGAGACGGAACCACCTGCAAACCGCTGCGTAGTATTTGTCGAAGACACGCCATGATTCGAAACCCCCTTTCACTGATGTTAAATTAGTGGTGGTCTGAGTATAACTGACCCGGCTATATGTTAAGTGACAAATGGTATGAAGGTCAAAGAAAGCACTGTCGACATACCCGAGCTTGACCCAACTATCTGTAATAAATAGCGCCACCTGGAGCTAAGCTACTACAATAAATAAACAATGAAAAAGGTCTATAACAGCGTCCGGATTACTTTCGGAAATTCCGTCGCTCTTCGGAAAGTTTTAATTTTCACAACTTTTGAATATTAATTCATACTTTTAGGTTAGTGAAGAGGTTATAATAATTTTTCATTTCTCTTTAACTCTGTTTTTTTCACCCCTCAGACCCCTTTAAAAAGTCACTTCTGGCCATTGTAATGGCCACTATTTTTTTAATGGCCAGAATATCAACCAGAACTTTTTTAATGGTCAAAATATTGACCAGTAATTTCCAACTGGTAGTTATAATGAGCACTATTTTTACACTGGTCAGAATAATAGTTTTTTTTTTTTTTATTTAATGATGGAGTGGGTGACAATCTATTTTTTAATGGGTATTATAATGATCATTTTATTTTTCATTACATGAATAAAATGGTCATTTTTTTTCATGTCACAGATATACCCGGTAATGGCACATTGGGATTGACAGCTCTTGTCTCTTTCTTCCCTCGCTTCAGTTTGCTTCAATTTTAAGCCAGTAAAATTGTAGGTGAACGTAAAATACAAGATTTTGAAAAATTTGAAATATGGAATTATACATCTTGAAATAATATGAAGTTTTGGGTTAATTTGTTTTTGAAATCACAACATATCATGCACTTGATACTGTTGGCTTAATAATATATAGTGTAATGCAATAGGTTATTAAACATAGAAGATGACCTGTTTTCAAAATACGGTCTAGACCCTTATCACGGGCGCTGACGAAGTTTGTGCAAACATGAGCCCAGGCTAATCACCCAAAATACCATTGTAACTTGATGTCCACTTGAAAATTTGACTATTATATTCATAACTATTCTTATTCATAACTATACTAAACTTGACTATCATTACAAGCACATTCTGTGACATTATTCTTGAGATAAAAATGGACTGACTGAATGAGACTCTGTACTACTTCCTGTTCTTATAAAGGCAATGTCTATCATTATAATACCTTGAACAAACAAGCAAGACATTCACTACTGAACAGTGTGCAACCCCCAAAATACTCAGCAACTGGCTTTCCACCAAAAAAAGTCACATAAACAGCTGGTTACTCCAAAAAGTCACAGGGAGTTACTCCAAAAAGTCACATAAACAGCGAGTTATTAATCCGAAAAAAGAGCCTGTCTTTATGAGTGGGGTTAAGCTCAAACATAAACAAAATTCCCATTTTAATAATGACAAAAAACTAATACACCCAAACACAGTGCACGGGCTAAGGGGCGCCATCAGTCGGTGACTTTGTTAAGCAGCTGTTTACGGACGCAAAATTTCTGCTGCTGACATGTTTTGTTTAAATTTATGAAGTGACGTGCACTAGAAAGCGAGCAAAGACGGACCGATTTATTTGGATGCACAGAAACAGTATATAACA